CTTTGGGGGTTTTGCTTTGTGGGTTTCGCGGGGGGGGGGGGGGGGGGGGGGGGAGGAGTCGAGGTGAAAAACAGGGAAAATGGGATGGGAAAGCTGAGGGAGAGATCTGGATTGATTGGGTGGGGCCTATATGATTACCGTTCACGAAACAAGCCTTCCGCAACGCAAAAAACACAAAAACATGACTCGCTTACGAACGAGAGATGGGTGATTGCTGTTGATCTAGATATGTCTAGAAAATAAAATGACGACAAAACCAAAGGGCTAGCTACGACCGATACCGCAAGCGTGCGGGCGAGACAGATGCAGCAAGTTCGCGGGCGAGAAAGAAAGCTCCAAGGGCTATCATACCTTCTTGTCCGAGGAGCAGGTGGCGATCTTGCTGCCGTCGGGGCTGAACCGCACGCAGTTAACGAAGTTGGTATGCTGGTTGTTGTTGGAGTGGTCCATCTTGAACGGCGGCCCCTGGTAAAAGATCGTCCGGTGATCCTCGCTCCCGGTCATGATGCGGTACGGCCGGACCTGTCTGTAGTCGCAGCTGATGACCCGCTTGCTGTGGCCCACCACCTCCCCGAGGTTGCTCCCGGTGTCCCACATGAACGCGCGAGCGTTCACCCCGGAGCCCGCCCCGCAGCACACGATCCGCTTGCTCTCCGGCCCCCATGCGAGATCTTTGATAGCGCCCCCCAGGCCGAAGACTTCGATCTTGAGCTGGTGTTCCGGGTTGTCCCACGCCCAAATTCGCACCTTATTTGTATTGAGGGCATTTTGACAGCAGTTGATATTTAGGCATTGTATCAAGGCGTGGGCGATGGACATGGCCAACCAGGTGCGAGGATTCGGCCGCAAAAGTACAACAGCTGCGAGAAGAAAAGACAAAATGTCACCTTCTAACCACCAACCGGCACGTATTACACGTCGTCCTGCTCGCTTAGAAACCTTCATCCGAGCTGGCACAACAGCAGGTCTCTAGCTCTGCCTGTGCATGGCTGTTCCCAAACACTGTTGTGTTGCTGTGTGTTAATACACAAGTCTATGCCTCTCTGAGCAACGGATACAGAGGTCGGCAAGGTTGTCGACGATCTACACAGCACTTGTGATGCAAAGGAACAATGCATAACGATAGAGGCGACAGACTCTCTGTCTATCGCGTCCACTGCTGTGCTGCAACCGCACCTTCCCGGTGATGTCCGCAGAGGCCACCCAGAACCCGTTCGGGGAGAACTTGGCCACCGTGGTCTTGGAGTTATGGCCGCGGTAGACGAACACGTCGGTGGGATCCTTGACGTCCCTCACCACGATGAACTTTCCGCTCGGGTAGATGATCTTGGACTCCTTCGGGTGCGTGCCCAAGACGAGGTTGTCCCCCCGCTCGGTGGACGGGTTGGGCGCCCAGTGGGACACGAAAGAGGGGTGGTCCACGCACGGCTTGATGTTGCTCGCCATGGTTGTAGTGGGCGCTGTGGAGTCCTGCTGCTGCTATTTCTTGTGTTTAATAGTAGTGGAACGGCTCCCTCCGTCTGCCACGGTAGAGTACATCATGTAGAGGTGGAGTGAAGTGTCAGCATGGCAGCAAATCGGCAATGGTGGCGTATGACTATTCACTCGCAATCAAGAGGGCGTCCGTCCACAGGGAAGAGCCTACCCCTCATAGCTGCGGTATTCAGCTCTCGACTCTCGGCAGCAGCGACAACAAAAAAGGTAGGTGTTCCGAAAAGGAAAAAAAAGGCGGAGGAATTCTTAGGCCAACGGAAGAGTTTAAGGATTCGCGCGCAAATTCTGCAGCGAGACAAACCGCGAGGAAAGCAAACACCCTCGTAGGTTATGTGGTGCACCTTCTAGTATTTGTGCCAGCTGAAAGCAGCACTCTCTGCGTGAGGCCTAAGGGACATTGGTCTTACACCGCTGTACTCGTATCATGCTTGTGGACTCGCGCACAGCAGTCGGGATGGGCGACAGCCGCAGAGAGACGATTCAGCTCAGCAGCACAGCAGGCAGGAGGGTATCAGCTTGCGGTGACCAACAACTATGCCATACATCTCTAGGCAGAGCTCACCGTAGCGCAATACAGCAGGGTGTCCTCAGGTCTTGTCTTGAGTGTGGGAGCAACGACAACCCTGTGCAGCACCAGCACAGAGCAGAGAGAACTACTGGGGGGGGGTCCGCGAAATACAGCTTGTACCCCCCTCGCCGCGGTGTCTAATGGTTGATGAAACCGTCGCTCTCTTTTGTGCCACAACACCACAACAATCTGCCGACTCCACGCGGGGCCGCTCTCTTGTGGGCGGGGCGCCTCCAATCAGGAACCTTCGCGCCTTGCGTCGACATAGGCATAGAGAAGTGCTGCCGCTCGCCACCACCGCCACACTTCAAAGCAATGCGATGCTGCTGTTCAACAGCATCGAGAACGGGCGCAGGCAGACTGCCAACCTCGGGGAGACTGGCAACTCGACGGCGACGGCGGTCGCTGGTGGCACCAGCGGCGGTCCCGATGGCGGCAACATTGTGCCCCCGCGCAACAACCATCGCGAGCCCCACAGGCGGCGTGAGAAGGGGCTAGGCCGAGTGGCCCAGATACCGATAATGTGGAGGCGGCGGGGGCAAAAGCGGCAGCCAAGCGGTATTAGGATATCGGGTGCCGGGGATCCGCTGTCGGCGTCGCATGGAGTAGATGATCCCATGGACTCCTTTCGTCCGGTGACTACCGACGCTTCAGACGGTGCCGTGCTACAAGACGAGGTCCCCGACATTATCGCCAACAAAATCCAGAAACACCATGAGTTGTGGTACCTGCTAGCGTACGGGAGACCCCGCGATCGCAGGGTTAGCGGGGGATACGCATTGCAGCCGGCGAGAATTGGCGGACAACCATTGCCTCGCCCAAACGCGGAGAATTCAGAGGTCTCGGGCTTGACTCACATCGCTTCGTGGAAGAGCCGGCCCAGGCTCTGGTCGGACATTGGCTCGCCTGTTGCCTGTGCTGCAGGGGGGCATAGACCCATCACATCTATCGACTACGGGAATGCCGACGAAGTAGTTTTGAGCAATACGCAGGAGGCGGACGAGGACATGCTCAATGCTGACGATACACTACCCGCTGGCTCCCCGAAGTTTCTGATCCATCCTTACGATAGGCGCAAGGTGCGACCTATAGAGAATCATATACGAATAAGGCATGTACAACGGCGAGTATCATGTGAAGTGCCATGTGGTGCCCAATATCATCAAATCGGCCGGCGTGCCACGACAAGTTTTTTCCAAGCACAATATTATGGCAAGCCTCACGACCGCAACACCAAACATCGTTCAAATTCTCTGCCACCAGCACATCACCCGTCGCGTAACCCCTTACTGTATTTGCCATTGCCGCACCACCCCGTCGCAGGTCGTTTGGGACATCTTCGTCGCGATCCTGATTGTTTACGGTTGCTTGAACATCCCGCTCCGCATTGGGTTCGACCTGCCGACGAGCCTAGGGCAGATCATCGCGGATTCCTTCATCGACATCGTCTTCCTGTCGGACATAATCTTGAGCTTCCGGACCGTGTACCTCGCCCCAGACGGGGAGCCGGTGACGAGTCCCGGCGACATCGCGCTTCGTTATCTCAAGGGCGCGTTCCTGATTGACGTGTGCTCGACGATACCCGTAGATCTACTCATGTTGCTGCTGGGGGGCACAAACGGAATTCTGCGGTCGACCAAGCTGCTGCGGACGCTGCGGTTGCTGCGGCTGGCGCGGCTCCTGAAGCTGTCGAAAATTGGCGGCAAGGAGGATGACCTCAAGAACGTCCTGAACCCCAGCCTGTGGGCATTGATCAAGATGTTCGTCAGCCTGATTTTCATCGCGCATATCATGGGCTGCATGTGGAATTGGCTTCTCATCCTCAGGTTTGCTTCCGTCGATCGTTATAGGAGGGAGGGAGGGAGGGAGGGAGGGGGGGATGTGCTGAGTTCGACCTCCATGCTCGACGTCATTGCTTTTTCGTCGTAGTTTTGATGACGCGAACGGTGAGGGGAATCGGGAGACCTTCCCAACGTTTTACTTCTGTTAGTATTTTTTACATGGGGCATGAGATCGGATAGAACTCGGGCCTCGACAAGTCGTCGATTCATACTCGATATATTCGTCAATTTTCACTGGCAGTTACGCGCCGTCCCTAACAACGACACCACCATTAAAATTTGCCCATAATCTCTTAGAGGACCAGCACGGTTGCCTTGGGCAAGCTGCGTTGCCAACTGTCTATTTTCACGGAATAAATGAGGCCGAGTACACACCCCTGTAGGATACATTTGGACAGAAGTTCAATGGCGCATCGATCTTGGAAGCGTTAAATCATGCAAGCAAGGCTCGTGTGTTTGCTCAAGACAACAAACTTTTGTAGCGTTCTTGACTCTGAAGCATAGTTTCGACCCCCCCCGCGTGTCCGACCATTGTACGTCGCTTCGCGGATGCTGTTTTTTGTGAAGCCCCGACGAACAAACTTGGGCTGCTGCCTATGGGGTGGCAGACACGACCTGGGGGCACCGATACCTCGTCGGCGTATATTGGGCGTTCACAACCATGTGAGTGGGCACTTTGATGGTATTCTGCTGAAAGAGTGTTTAGAGGGAAAAATAGATTTCGTGTTAACTCAACCATCACGGAGGTGCAGTAGGCAAAACGGAGTACCAGACATGGAAAGTCAGAAGTGTCGCCTTTCACTCTACAACATATATTTTCTCTATACATAGGTGGCGTAAGGTCTGCCGTTCACCGAGACCTTTGCCAGCAATCGATACACACATCCAAACACGACACGTCGTACGCTCACCGGCCACGCTACCGCATATCACTCAGAAGGATGAGACGCAGGAAGACTGGCACAGATGGCAAGAACCTGTTTGCGCACCCGACGACAACCTAAGTAACCCATTGCCGCCACGATGCAATGGTGTTCTCGTAGGACGACGGTGGGGTACGGCGACATTACTAGCGCGAGCGATCTCGAGCGGTGTTTTTCGATCGTGGGAATGATTATCGGCGCGACGGTGTTTGGGTACATCATCGGAAACGTGGCCGCCATCATGGAGAGTTTCAACGTCACCGACGCCATCGAAAACGGCAAGATGAATCAGATCAAGGAATGGCTCTACGACAGAAAGGTACATCAACACGTTCATGATCACACTTTTGGCTCGACTCGCGTTGGCTTGCTTCAAGGTTCTCTCACTATCGAGCGTTCAACACTGAGAGTTGGGCTCGAATCTCGCATACTGCTGTAAATAGGCCCCGCCGAAGGCGAGCCGTTCCTCTCTGAATTCGTCTGCTGCTCACAGCGTAGATGCGGGCGTGTGCGTGCACGTACCCATTCGTCTCTAGCCGTGGCATAACCAGGAGTTTCCCTCTGTCCCCTCCACACTTGGTGCACCGATGGCTGTTGGTGAACGAATACCGCACGCTGCCTAGTTTCCTCCAGCGCTGGCGGACAAAATCCGCCGTCAGTACCGCTACATCTTCACGGAGGTGGGAGTCTTCGACAACTCGGAGATCGTGGACGTCATGCCCGGCGTCATTTCGACTTCCCTGCTCTACGCCCAGCACCGAGCGGTGGCAAAGGGGGTCGGGTTTCTAAGGCAGCGCCCGCCGGTTTTGGTCGGCCGGCTGCTACGGAAGATGGTGCCGTGCTTCGCCAACGTGAGAAGAGGGAAAGGGGGATTTAGTTCGTGTTAAACGTGGGGGATGAATCTGCCCGGTTAGCTCAATCTGTTGCCACAGGGGTGCTGTGGGTTCCTTGGTCTTTTCGTCATCCAACCCTCTGTTGGCCGAGCGTCCTTGGTACGAAGCACTACCGGCCCTGCCCCCAAGATAAAGTGTTTTACCCCTCTCCTTCGCCGTTTGAATGGCAACCGATCACAGTGCGGCGACGTGCTCTACCTCGAGCACGAGGTAGGAGGGCACTGGTATTTCCTTCGTGCGGGCACCGTTTCTTTCTACGTGTCCGTGTCTCCGCTGGAGACGCAGTCCGAGGTTCTGCTGATGCGAAGCTTATCGGACGATGGACACTTTGGCCTGACCCCCGTACTGCTTAACGTGCTCAACAGGCAAGTGTTTTGAGGGGGGCATGGAAAAATATGGGTTGGCATGATTGGGGTGCGGTGGTAACTGCTGAAGGTGGAACATACAGGGATACACGCAGTGGTTGGGGATTTTCACGCTGAACACACAATGCGTCAAGCCCGGCAATACTATCATCCGTCGTTCCCAAGGTGCCAACGATGTCTCATGCGTCGTCCGTTCAAGCGTGGCGGCACGGCTTTCACCCAAACTCGACTCAATTCTTCGACATCGAACGTGGCAAAACGTTTTCATTAATCACAGTGAGACGGCCACGGTCACGGCGGCCGCAGAGCTGCTGACCATCCGGAAGGACGACCTTATCGATATCCTGCAGCACTGGCCGGAGGTAATGGCGGAACTGACGATCGAAGCGGAACGCCTCTTCAAGGAAGTTAAGGTTAGTGAGGACCCTACGAAACCGGCAGCCCCCCTTGCAGGAGTGGGACAGGGTCGGAGTCGCTTCGCAGCTCTCCACATGAAACCCTGGCCGCCGCACACGCAAGAACTACACTGCTCTACCACCAGATGCTTAGCGTCTGTCATTGTTATGGCGCTAGAGCAAAGTAGACCGACTGATGTCTAACGGGTCACAACGTACTTCGTGTCAGGTCAGTGCACAAGTATCCCTGAGGCTGTGGTGAATGCAATAGGTTCGTGGGTGTCCTCGCTGAACACTAGATGGTTGGAGCGCCCTAGAGAACTTACGAACTGTCTTTGGAACTTTCCACCTGAAGCAGATATGCAGATTATACTCCAAGTGTATCACACACGAATCGACTTGGTCGCGATGTGTGGCGCGCCTGTTGTGTACAAGCGCGTAACGATCGGAATTCCTTGCCGTACTTGGAAGTAATAGGCGTGCCTGTCGACTCTGAAACGTTTGGATGGCCGATATGCCCAACCAACCTACCGGTATGTTATATCTGATTTGGTTGCCAGCTTCTGGTTCATCCTTGTAAACCGTAACCTGGGCCAGCGAAAACCCGGCATATCGCCCCGCCCGGGCTTTGTAGGGATGGGAGGTCTATGGCCTAACGGCTACGGCATGCGTTTACACGAGTACCCCCCCCCCCCCCTCGCGCTTCACAATTTGACTTCTTCCAGAAATTTCGTGCGAGGAAGCAATCAGCGGGAGTAAAACTCCAAGCCTTCTCATCTCGCACGGAAAATACCTTAAACGGTTCGTTGGCTGAGTCCGCCAGGAACAATTCCTCGGACTCTCCAGACACGGACATCACCCATCCTTCCGCCCCTGCGGGCGCTGCGTCGGGCGCTGCTGCTGAGGGCCGCGACGGTAGTTCGGAGATGATTGAAACCCAGGCTGGCGGAGATGAGAGGGATTCAAACGACAGTGGGGGTGATGATGGTGATGGTGGTGGCGGTAGTGGTGGTTGTGGTATGCTTTTTCGAGGGGATGAGAGCAAACAGGCGGAAGCGGTGGGCGATGTTAGTGCTGTTGACAGCAGTAGTGGCGAGTCGGAGCGAGAGGGACGACGAGAAGCTGAAGGAAGTGGGGGAGAAGGCTCGGAGGGTGGAGGCGGCGAAGAAGACGAAGAGCGTCGGGTGGAAAGACAAGCTGAGGCAGCCGCGATGGCGGCCAAGGGGATAGGACTCGGCGAGTCGCTCAGGATACCCGGGGTGACTGGGGTCGAGGAAGCTGCTGGAGTATTAGACACCGCGGTAACGGCGGCGGCAGCTACGACGGCAGTAGCACCAACAGCGGCAGTAGCACCAACAGCAGCAGTAGCACCAACACAACCACCAGCAGCAGGCACCACGAACCCGGTTGTGGCTTCACGCGGGCGGGCAGCAAAGAAGCTACGTCCACCACCAATCGTGACCAAGGACGCCCCCCTCACCTCCCCCGATTTATCGTCCGAAAAGACCCAAGACGACAACAACAACAACAATAGCAATGTTGCCGGTGATGGCAACGACATGTCAGTGGACCCGGAACACATGCGAAGGTGCTTCGTCGCCAAGACTTTCTCTCCGAGCGACCTCGGACTTGGGGTCTCCGCGGACGGAGCCTCTACCCCCGAGGCGGTGACGAAGGCCTCTCTCATGAAGGCCCAGCGTAGGCGACGGACCATCAACAAAGGGATAACCGAAATCGATGGCCGAAAGCAGTCTGTGGACGAGGTCTTGGGTTTGAGCGATGCCCTGCTTGGGAGCGTTCCCCCCGAGCGCCTCTTCTCGATAACCGGGATGTTCCACCCCGAGGCCCCTATCAAGGTATGCCATACTTGCATGCGTACGTGTGTTTGGTAAAGTACTACCGGTTAGTGTCGACCGCGCTACCCGACCGACCACTCGAGAAGACGTTCGCGGTACAGCAGTGGGTAAAAATGGCGCTGTCTAGTCCGCGGGCTCCCCCCGACATGAAGGTCGCAGACGAGATTGTTCGACAGAGTCCAGCCTCCGGATTTATTGAAGAGTTCTTGCATAAGGGAAAAAACCAACATCACGACAATCAGATTTCTCCTTTTAAATGTTTTTGGCCAATCAGAAAACTGCGGGGACCTTTTATCTAACTCTGTACCTTGTCAGCGTCGACCATGCTGAAGTAACTGGCAAACTGATGAAGATATGTAAGGTTGCCGAACGAGAAACGACAACGTATTATTGCCCGCAAACGCTCCGGGTGTATGTACCCATGTGTCCGTGTGCTGGCTCTTCTGTGGATAGATGGGAAGTTGCAGATAATTCCTAGATCACGATGTGTAGGTAGATGTAGGGTTCACCAAGCGCATGGGTCCATGAGCTTTGTTGGCGGAGAATGTCGGGGAGTGTGGGGGGGGTGTACTTGCACGGCGTTGCGGACGAAGCAGCGTGACGACACCTTCAATGACGAACGATGCTTTTAACGCACATCCGTGTTTCAATTGCCCGCCTCCTTGCTACGCTTCATGTGGACTGATGTGCCTGCCCTCTGACTCCTAACTTCCTGCCCGACGACGAGAGTAGAATAGTCACCAGCTTGATATGCCCAGAGGCAGACACGAAGCACGACCCTAGAACCCTAGCATATTGCGAGCTGTGTGTCCTCACTCATCAATCTCTTGCCGCCCAGGATCGAGCGGCCAATGGTCTGTGAAGGATTCCAGCGCGATTTCCGACCATGTCAGTACCAAAATGAACTATTACGCCTTCAACCAAGGGCTGGGTGGCTTTTTGCCTCGCGTGTTCTGACCACTCTGAATTTCGTGCCGCTAATTTTTCAGGTTTCGTGGGACATCTGGTTGTCCATGGTGATAATTTGGTCGGTGCTTGAGGTAACGTACCGCCTCGGCTTCGATCGCCCGCCCGAGGGCGGGTGGCAGGTGCTCTCTTACTTCGTGGACGCGCTGTTCTTCGCGGATATGCTGGTCACCCTACGCACGGCTCTTCTCGACAGGGACGGAGAGGTGGTGGCGAACCAGAAGCAGGTCGCGGTGGCGTACCTGAAGGTAAGGGACAAGTCTGAAAAGAGGGAATCATGCTCGACAGACGTTGGTAGATTGTAGCCTTTATGAAGGATATCTCCGCATTGGCAGATTTTAGCCTTTTTGAAGGTGATCTGCACAACGAGGCTAAAACTTGGAGGGGGGTAGGTGGGGGAGGGGGGGGCGACGAGACGACCAAAAGTACGACATGGCTGCAGAACCTCGAGTAGAGCTGTAGCAAAGCTGCTTTTCATTAAAAAAT